CTACTGTAATTAAGTCAGCATGGTACTGGCAAAAAAAAAAAAAAACAACCTGAGGATCAGCAGAACAGATTAGAAGACGCAGACACAACTACAAACACACTCAGGCACCTTATCTTTGACAAAAGGGCCAAATATGTACACTGAAAGAAAGATAGTCTCTTTAGTAAATGGTGCTGGAAAAACTGGCTCTCTACATGCCGAAGGCTAAAACTAGATCCATGTCTATCACAATGCATGAAACCAAAGTCAAAATGGATCAAAGATCTAAATATTAAAACAGAAACACTAAGTCCACTGGGAGAGAAAGTAGGTAAAAATCTTGAAGACATAGGGCTAGGCAGAGATTTTATGAACAAAAACCAAACTGCACAAGAAATATATCAAAGAATCAACATCTGAGATCTCATCTTACTGAAAAGCTTTTACATATCAAAAGAAATCACCAACGCAGCAAAAAGAAAACCCACAAATTGGGAAAAAATTCTAGCTCACTGTCCCTCAGACAAAGGAGTTCTACCTAGAACATATAAAGAATTTTTAAAAATCAGGCCACAAAAATTCAAAGACCCAATCCAAACATGGGCATCTGAGATGAATACACTCTTCTCATATGAAGAAATACTAATGGCAAATAAATATATGAAAAGATATTCAACATCATTGGTCATTCAAGAGATGCAATTTAAAACAACACTGAGATCCCATATCACCCCAGAAAGAACAGCTATCATCAAGAAATCAATGAATATCAAATGCTGGAGAAGCTGTGGAGAGAAAGAACCCTTCTCCACTGCTCGTGGGAGTGTATACTGGTACAACCTCTGTGAAAATCAGTGTGGAGATTCTTCACAAAACTAGGATTAGAGGTCCCATTCGACCCAGCTGTTCTCTTCCTGGGTATTTTCCCAGAAGAATTGGAAACATCATACCACATCAATATATGTGCACCCATTTTTATAGCAGCATAATTTGTCATAGCTAAATCTTGGAAACAGTCTAAATGCCCATCAACCAAGGAATGGATATAAAAGATATGGTATTTTTATACAAGAGAGTATTACTCAGCTGTAAAAAATATAAACTAGAGGCTTTTATAGGTAAATGGATGCAACTAGAGTCCATACTCATAAGTGAAATAAATTAGACTGAACATCATATTTTTCCCTCGTGTAAGAACCTGAAAGAGTATATAAAACCCAAAAGGTACAATGGATAAGTGAAAAGGAAAGAAATTGCTCAAGGGAAAAAAGTAACAGGGATGAGGGAAAGGAGAAAAAAAAGAAAGAAGGAAGGGAGAAATGTATATATATAGAAGGATAGCTGAAATAATTGTACTGCTGATGTCTATTGGTTTACTGAAAGGAACAGTTTAAGCTTAAATTTTTTTGACTAATTTTGCATGCTTATATTCGGTAATCTGAACAACTAATTTGAAGACAGCAATATGCAATATAATAACCATTGGTGAATTCCTCCCATCTTGTTCAGTAAAGCTCTGTGTCATTTCTAGTGGGGCTTTAAAATTATGTTTTATTCTCTTTAATGGTTTGATCAATCTTGCATTCTTACATCTGGTAATCTGAGCAACTTCATTAAAGATAATAATATAACAACCACAGTTAATTCTTATCATTTTGTTTTGTAACCCTGTTTCATTGTAATTGTTTTTGTGTAGTTTTGTTTTTGTCTATGTTATTGTTATTTTGTTATTCTTTTTATTCTCTTCAAAACAAAATAAAGTAAAATAAAATGATTTCAAGTTTGGTGAATAGGTCCAAGTTGACACTTGTCTCATTGTTACCATAATCTTGTTGCCTAGAATTCAGATAAGTGTCTGTCAAGTGTAACAGTTTAAAAATACTTGTTGAGTAAACAAGCCACTAAAAATCAGCCTCTGTTTATAGTACTGGATTCTAAGCTCCACTGAGACTGAGACCGAGAATTAAATAGTCATCCCCTTTTCAAAATTGAGCTTTTGTTGCTGCTGTTGCTGTTGTTGTTCTAGGGAATATGCTTTTGTTGTTTTTATTCCAGAAAAAGCTGATGCTGGACAAAATGTTGTTGTACAATAGGCCCCTTGATCCTTCCTCTAAAACCCTACTGCAGGACAATAGTTCGATAGGCCTTTCAAAGCCCCTGCTAGACCCCTTCACCTGTAGTCCACAGTTCCCTCCATTCCAGAGAAAGAAAAGTCTCTAGAGGCACCTATTAAAAGCCATCAATTTCCCAAGGAACACGCCCCTGGCTGGGTTAGAAACTACAGAGTCAGCAGCAAAACGAACCCTCCTCCTTGAGCTTGGGGACACTTTGCTTTGATTGTTTCATTTTTGTTTTTAACATTTACATTCATGTTCATATACGCATGCACACACATGTAGATCTCAAAGGTGCTTAGTAATTCCATGCCTTTTGTTTGTAACCACAAATTTCCAGACTTCTCTGAAATCTAAAGGTCTAATGAAAAAGGGCTTCTTACTCTAACAAAGCAAAGTGAATTCCAATAATCACTATTCTTAGCCTCATGCCAAGAAGAAACTATGTGTGTGTTTCCAAACATCAAGGGTTGTGCATCAAACAAAACAACCTGATACTGCTCAGCTTCAGCTTCCACACTAAACCCAGCCCCAGTTCTAGTGATCTTCTAGGAGATGGCATTGTGACAAGTATCATAACCAGAAACCTGGCGCAGAGGAAGCTCTCAATGACTCAAACACTTCTTAGACAGAAAAGGTACAAAGAGGTTAATTTGTAATGAGTATACACCTTGAGGATAGGGTAATCACCTGCCCTAGTATCCAGCATATGGTACATGCTTAATTGATACAGTTAGGTTGACTAAATTAATGACCCATCCCTATGGAGCTTTTCCTGGTCACATGGGCACTTGTCCAATTTTTAGTAGTTGTTGAGTGATATCAAAACCTGCGACCATTCTTCACTTTTTTCTTGCTTCCTTCTTTCCTTCCTTTCTTTCTTTCTTCCTTTCTTCTTCCATTTTTCTTCTTTCCTCTTTCTTTTTGGACAGACTCTAGTGTCTTGCAGTAATCCCTTCTGCATTCTGGCAATTTGAATTAGAAAGTTTAGAATTGGAATGTGCAGATAACTATCTGCCTGACTTACCAGGCTCAGCTTCAGGCTGGACATAATGGAGCTGTCTAAGCAGCTGCACCCTGTGAGAAGTGGGGGTGCTTCTGCTTGTCAGACCCTGGGGGTCCGCAGGAAAGATCGCAGAGATAAGGTCAGTTCCTTCATTTAACCGCAGGTGGGGGCAGCATCGTGTTAACATGGCCGTCAGACAGTTCCCATAAAAGATCTTTTCAGTAAACACAGTAGACATTTTTGTAACATAACGTTTGCAAATCTTATCATTGTTAAGAATTCCTGAAAGTAACCTGTTATTGGAAAAATACAGTAGATAAACAAAATGTGAGGGTATCCTCTGGTTTGCTTTAAGGTACTAGTTTGAAGGGGGAGGGTGGGTCCATCCAGGGTGTGCAACAGTGTCCTCTTTATTTACTTTGGTGCTTTGATTTTGTTCATTCTCTAGCCCAAGCATGAAGTGGAAAGGTGAGAACTGACTAGACATTTCCCCTCGTGACAAAACACCTGAGAATAACAACTTAAAGGGGGAAATATTTATTCTGGCTCACAGTTTCAGAGGGTTCACTCCATGGTCACTTGCCTCAGTTGTTTCTGGACTGCAGTGAGGTGGAGCGTCGTGGCGGGGAGCTCATGATGGAACAAAGATGCTCACCTCATGGCAGCCGGGAAGGAGAGAAGGAAAGCTTGAGAAGAAGCTAGGAACAAGACATAATCCCCTATGATTTGCTCCCTTTAAACGTTCTCTTGGCCTGTGTCCTCACATCCCTGCCCCTATCGCAGCCCTCTCAAACCATCACATATGTTTCTGTTTAAAAATCATCTGGAGGGCTGGGGATTTAGCTCAGCGGCAAAGCACCTGCCTGGCAAGCGCAAGGTCATGAGTTCGGTTCCCAGTACCGGAGAAAAACCAAAAAAAAAAAAATCATCTGGAGCAATTTCTTTCCCTTGGGTTAGAAAAAAATTCCCATTAAAAATTTTTAGAATTTTAGCAAAATATTCATATCACAAAATTTACCATCTTCACCATTTTAAAATACACAACTCAGCAGTGCTATGTACACACACATTACACAACCAAACCCCAGAACTCTTCATCTTGTAAAACAGAAACTGTATTCATTAAACGGCTCCTCACACCCCTACACCCACAACCCCAGGTGACCACCATTCTTTCTTTCTCTATACATTTGACTGCTTGAAGTAACTCATGTAAATGAAATCATACAGTGTGTATGCGTGTGTGTGCATGCACGTGTGCATGTATGTGATTGGCATATTTCACTTAGGTTCTTAAGGTTCACCTATGTTTTAGTATGTTCCAAAACTTCCTTTTTAGTGCTAACAGAAAAGAAAACGTATAGCACAACACTGGACCTTCTGCTTTAGCTCTGCTGGTTTATTTGCAGTGCTTCACAGAGTCCAGCTGCCAGTGCCTCTAAGCAAGTGTTTTATCTGATCAGAATCAATCCTTCTCCCTCTCCTCTCCTCTCCTTCCTCTTCCTCCCCTTCTTTTCCTTCTCTTCTTTCTCCTTTTCCTCTTTCTCCTCCTCCTTCTCCAACTTCCTCCTCCTTTTTCTTCCTCCCCTTTCTCCTTCCCTTTTTCCTCCTCCTTCTCCTCCTTCTTCTATCTTCTCTCTCTCTCTCCCTGTCATCTGACTTGTCCTCAGTAACAAACAAATGTCCATGTGGTAATCTATTTTAAAATTTTGAAATAGGCTCTAAGGATTTTTCTGCACCATTTTCTCCCTGTATGATTTTAATCTCCCTTTAGTGTAACTTAACTGCTTTACTATTGCTGACCTATTGGGTCATACCTCGATTTACTTACTATTAATATTATGAGGGGATTGTCCTGCTTCTGACCATAATGAAATGACTCATACCAGACTTTTCTTCCCTTTATAAATGACTGTAAGACTGGATAGACATAGGCACATCTGTTGCAGGCTTGGCACAAGAAGCAGTGCAGGACTGTGGTTCCTGAGAAGGAAACAAAGAAGTGACAGCCACGTCCGCCCCAGCTTTCTGCCTGGGGCTACTGCACTTTCGGACCTAGTAGAGGAGTCCGGGCAGAGCACTGAGATTCCACCGAGCAGAGAGGCAGAGGTGGGAGTGCGGCGTGGTGGGAATGATGGGGATGTGGAGACAGAGTACTGGAGAAGAGGGAGCCTTGGTGTCCAGACGTCTCTCTGGGGAATTCCCTCACTGAAGCAAGAGAGAAAGGGAAAGGCAGAGAGGGAGGAGAGGTGCACTGGGGCAGACAATTAGCGCATGAAATAATGGCTGATAATTTCTCAGTTTGGTGAAACCACACATCCAAGAAATCTGGCAACTTCTAAGCAAGATAAATACAGAGAAAACATTACCTTGACACGTCAGTGACAAACTCCTGAACACTAAAGACAAAAAGGAACAAGGAGCACTTCAAATGGTAAGTACAGTATGGGGTTAAACAAAAAGGGTCAGAATGTATTCTTTCATAATCTTATTAAAAATACAACTGACTGCTTAAAAACTATTGCATAGTGTGGATTATAACATCAGTGCAAGTAATATAAATGACAATAGCAAAAATGATCAAGAGGGCATGTTATAATATTAAGCATTTCTTAAATTTATAGGAAGTGGCACGATATAAATCTCAAATATACCTTTGTGGAGGACCACCTGGAGGACTCTCCTTGAAAGAAGAGCAATTATTCCATTTTGGCTAAACCTGACCCTATTTCCATGTATTGATACATACAGAGCTGGCTAGGATTTTTCCTTACCCCCTCAATTGGCTTTAAGCAATGCAAATCGGTCTAGCCGAGGTCCTCATGTGTAGTCTTTGAAGCAAGGTGACAGGGCAGTGTTTCCCCACCCGGTAGCTCCCAAAAAACACGTATGAGCCTGGCAGGAGGAAGAGCAACACTGCATGCTGTCGGCTGGGATAGAAGCCTGTGATAGAGGCTATGACTTCCCAGGGCATAAAAAATTACACATCAGAGCTGAAGTACCAACCCCAAAACATTAGGTACTATCTCAGATTGTGTTATGCAGATTACTCTTTCTGTATATCCTTTTCTCTGCATATTGCAGAGGTGATCTCAGGCCTCCAACCTAGCCCAGATCACGGCACTCACCTACTTCCTGCCACTCCCAGTCACTCATCCCAGAGCCACTCCCCTCTTCATGAATTAATAAAACCTGGGTTTGGCCTGGGTCGAGGCCTTGGTTCCAGTTAGCCATCATCACGGCTGGACTTCGGACCTCTTAGCTCCCCACAGCTACAAATATGCCTTAGTGTCTCTATTCTCACCATGAGTTGCACTGGAAGTGGTAGATTGGAATTAATTTCTTGGAATTCCAGTAACTTTTCCATGGGGTTACAAATGCAAGCTTTCCAGACCGCAACAAGGATGGGGAAGTGCTCTCTATATGCTTAGTAAGTGATAGATGCATTATATAATCTGTAGAATAACTGGTGTAAAAATTTACAAGGAAATATAGTTAAAAAGACAATAGAAGGATTAAAATAGAATAGTACAAAGTTTTTAGAAAAGAAGGTATAGATGAACAAGTTGAAGGCAGAGGTCAGGCAATAGATTTAATCTCTATCATACTGATGGCATATAAACAACTGAAGACTCCATTTACAAAGCAGTAATTGTCAGATTATATTTTAAAAAAACAAAGACCAACTGTATGGATAAGTATAATGATAAAATTATTGGTGTGGACAAAGATGGAAAAATATATAATACAAATAGTAAGCATAAGAAAACTCTTTTGGCTATGTTAATATCAAAGCAGCCCTAGATATAAGACGTCATCACAGATCTGAGACCTTTCAAAGTATTTAATGAAAGTGGTCAATGCATCACAAAAACAAAACAGTCAAAAGTGTATATGCATCTGATAGCAGAGACTCAAAATGCATGAAGTAGAAAACGTCAGAACTAGAGGAAGAAACAGGCAAATTTACAATCATCTTTAAAACTTAACACCCCTGTCATGGTAAATGATAGAACAAGTAAATAAAAAAGCAAGTTTTAGTTGATCTGAATAGATTATCGATTTCCTTGACATCATTGCCATTTGTAGAACACTCCATCCACCAGCATCAGAACAGACTCTTTACAAGGACTGGGGAAACTTCACTACCATTGTAAAGACATGTCAGTACATTTCAAAAGAATGAAATGTTCAAGTAGATATCCCCTGATCACAGCAGAGTTAAATTAGAAAACAGAGGTGATTTTCTTGTTCCCCTTCCCACAGAAGTGTTTTGTGACCAAATTCTCATTCTTTAGCAGAAAGTGAACCGGAAAGAGGAAAGGATCCCTCCTGGTTTACAGGTGGTTCTGTGGAACAGTCCACCACCAACTAGGAGTGAGTTGCATCATTGGTGGCCCTGAAGGATAGAGGAGAGGGGGTCTCCTTCACAAGGACAGGACTCTGAAGAGTTTATATGTGTTCACTTTGCTGGCTGGAGAGTTGGTCCAAGGTAAAGTTTTATACTCATTTATAAAGTGTCTTCTTATTTAGCTAAATAGCCAGGGAGAAAAGACTTGGAAGATGGGCGTATTGGAATGCATCAAAAGTGGAGGAATACTTGAATCCCAAGTGAATGCTCTCCATGAACTTCCCACTCTTGCATAACCTCTTTGAGGTACTCGGACTTTGTCCAGCCCACCGCAATGAGCTAAGTGGCTTTGAAGTCATGGCTGGAGACTGTGCTTGGGCTTACCAACAAGGGCTTTCCTCACCGATGATCTCCTGGCTATGATCACTGTTGTGTGGTCAATTTGCCAATGGGAACACCATGAAATCCCTGAAATGGCACATACTCAAGGAGTCCTGGGTGGTATATGGATTACACTGGAGCACTTCCATCATAACAGGAGGCTGAAAATCTCTTGTTAAGCTTGACATCCTCTTAGCCTCACCAGCCACTGCTAGGATAGGGTGACCAGTTTATGCTAGAGGAAGGTGAACATCTTCCTGCAGGTACCACCTGTGAGCACCTCACTCCAGGCCTGTGTCACCTGCCTCTTCCTCCCCACCCTGGTGGCTCTCTGACGCTGCAGGATAGGGCCCCTGCTGGGCCCCACCTGGCACTTAAGCAAGTGTATCTGCCAGCACGAGGGAGTTATTGCCCCACAAAAGTGTGATGTGGGATTGGTTCACTTCAGCATTTCTGCCTAGGACTTTGACTCCTGAAGGCTTGGCACACACAGCTTTAGGGATTTTCTATGTGATTCTAGAGGTAAAAGCACAAAGTTGACATCCCCCAGAGATAGTTTCTATAAGATGATTTCAGCTGTGTCCCAGTTGGGTGCTTACCCTCTTCCTGCCTGTCAGCTTTGTTTTTCAGGCTGCATGTTGGTTCTATGAGCTGTCCAATAGCTTTTCAGTAAACAATTTCCCTGCTTACATAGTTTCTACTGTTTCAAACCAGGAATGCTGACTTTCAATGAGAGTTGGATTAAATGACCTCTACATTATTACCTTATTTTTTCCACTCACATATTATAATGCTTCCTTTCATCAATGTGTGTGTGATGGCATTTTTCTTTAAGAAGTAAAATCAAGGCTGGGTGTGGTGGTGCACACCTGTAATCCTCGCATTTGGGAGGCTGAGGCAGGAAAATCTCAGTGAGTTTGAGGCCAACCTGGGGTACATAAGTAAGTTCAAGGCCAGCCTGCACATACAGAGACCCTGTCTCAATACCCCCAAAGTAAAACCAATGCTTTCTTAGATTTAATATTTTAAATTTTCTTGTAGTGTCTTTCAAGAAGATGATTATGGGGATCAGCCAATTAAGTCAATATCAGTTGTGATCTACCATTTTTTCAATGCCTTTACCTGGGCTCAGTTAAACTGTAGTAGAATTTATGCGCAAGGCAGTTTTCTTATCTGAGAATTATTTTCATACAGATTTTACCTACTTACAGCAAGAGAGAACTTGTATTTCCTGAAGATCTACTGTGCACCTGTGACTAAGTCAATGGTATGGAAAGGTGGGGAAGGGATGGGGTGGTTCTCCCAAGTGAGAGAAGAATTTAATCACTGAGATTGTTTCAGATGCTCACTAACTGTAATAATAAAAAGCAGGTCAATATTTACTCAGTTTTATTATTGTTTTTTAAATTCTTTACACTTCCTCCTTGCTTACATCTGATGCACATAGCACCTTCTGAATTTCTTTCCATTGGTATGTGTAGCGGATTGACAACTGGTGGTCAACTTGTAACACCCAGCTGAACTAAACCAGTGTGGTGCTGGGTGTGGGAGGCCCACCTGAGGATTGTTGCCGTCAGGATAAGAGGCAAAACTGGAGAAGAAGAAGAGAGGCTGCTGGGAGTTGGTGGAAGCTGTGGGGAGCTTGTTGGAAGCTATTGAGAAGCTCTAGGGAGCTGCTGGTTTTCCTGGAGGAGTTTGTCATGCTGGCTTTTCTGATAAACTCAGCTGTTCTCATTGGAGGAGGAGCTCAGGACCTGTTGTCACTGAAAATGTCTTCGGTTCCCTTGGAGGAGCTCTGGTCCTCACTTTGAGCATCGCTTCCTGGCTCCAAAGGGGAAGGTGGTGCACTGCTCAGTCTCCTGAAGAAGCTTGTCATGCTGGCTTTCCTGATGGGAACTCATCATTGGAGGAACTCGGGACCTCACTGTTGCTGACGATGGCTGTGGTACTTTTCAGGGGAGCTCTGGCTCTTACCTTGAGCGTCACTTCCTGGCTCCAGTGCAGATCCCTTAGCCAGCTAGCACAGATCCTTCATCCCACTGGCACAGACTTTCTAGCTTCCACCACTGACCTTTGGACCTTCCCAGCACAGATCCATGAAACAGGCCTGCATGAGACATTGTTGTGGGCCCTAGGCCTCCAGTTGGATTCTTGGGAGGCATTGTTATGGGCTCTAGGTCTTCAGCTGGATTCACGCATGACATTATTGTGGGACCCTGGCCCTCAGTGGATTCTTTGGTCTTTAGTGTGTAGACAGATTTCCCACACTCTCTTTTTGGATATGATTCTTTGGGTGACTATTATAAATAATCTTATAAAATATTGTCCTGTATTATATTGCTGCCCCTTGCAAAAACCCAAAACCACTGCAGTGTACAACTGTCCTACATCTATATCCTCTCTGTTTATCACCTAGAATAGCCTACAAGGTATTGTTACACCAAGTTCTAGATCAGCCCTAAGAAGATTTGGAACCTCACTCAAGGCTACAGGTAGATAAGAGTGGAGTCAAGATTTAAACTCGGAACCCAGCTGTGCACACCTGTGCTGTCCCCACTGCTTCTCCAAGATGGCTGGGAAAACTTATCAGGCGCCTTTCAATGTTTTGCTTTCATCCTAGGATTTTGCAGATCACGGCAGCTTCTCAAATTCTTATGGAGGGTAAGGCTCCTCCTAGGGCAACGGAAAAACACTGATTCTGTCACTGGTGATAAAATTACTTTGGTTGTTTTCAGTTCTGAAATACTTAGGGTGCACACTTTGATTGTGAAGAAAGCCGTATAGAAGAAGAGACTGAGTCAAACCCTCAGGACCCCACAGCTGCCCTACTTCTCCAAAATGCATTTGGCTCCTTCTCAAGAAGTAAACAAAAGAATGGTAACTTGGTAGTGATTAAAAGCTAGTCCTTTGCACGAAAATGTTTATTTAAAAGATAGCTTAAAGCAATCCAACCATCATGGTGCGGTGTCAAAATTAACTTAGTCTTGGTTATACTGCACCTTTCAAATGCCCACAAAGGATGGACACACAAGAGTAGTAAACTCAGATCAAAGCAGGCAAGCATGTTCAATGTGAACTGAGACAGACATTAAACATTGCTGTAAAACTCTTCCTGCCCTTCACTCCCTCTTCCTTTTTCTGCTGCTTCTTTTTGCAAGAGGGGGACTGAGCCCAGGGCCTCACACCGAGTTACATTTCCGGTCCCTTTTTATTTTTATTTTGAGATGGGATGTTGTTAAATTACCCAAGTTAGCTTCCTGCCTCAGCTTCCCAAGTAGCTGGATTACAGGCACCCATCACCACACACAGCTGGAAAAATCCTTCCTTCTCAGTTGCTTTTGAATTCCTACCTCCCTTTCCCCATTCTCCCCCTATTTTAAAACTATATTCTTCAATCCTGAATGTTTGTTTAAATATATTTACCAAAGGTAGAGAGAAAGTTCTCTTGGCTGTCTTCATGGTAAAGGTTTTCTCTTGCTTAAAAACTAGCATGAAAAAAGCATTTCTGACTCAAGTCTAAGTAAAACAAACATATGGATTCGATTTGGTTTTGAAATAAACGTTGCTCTAAGGCCGTCTGTGGTAGTGGTAGTGTGGGGGCGGGGGAGAAAATACATTTCAGGCTCTTTTAACATCAAAACAACTAGAAACATTCTTCAGCCACTCAGAACCCCACAGCCCAGATGGCCTCATCTTTGAACAATCTCCATATGCCATCTGATCCTAAAACTGGTCATTTGCGGGGTTGGTGAAAACTTTCCTACTTCCTTCCCATCTATTCCCTACCTCTAGCTCTGAGGATTGTTATATTTTAGGATGTAAGTTTTCTTGGAGCTATTCATCTCTTTATCTAAATTTTTTTCTAATTAAAGTTTGTAGCTCTTGGTTTCATGCGTCCCCGAGTGCAGGCCTTAGATCACGTGCATCAAACTGGCCTGAAATGCTTGCTAGGAGAGTCCCAGGTCTATGGCAGTGTTCAGAAATCCCTATCTTTATCGCTAGAACTTGGAAACCTAAAAGATTCCTGGTAAACACATCTAAGTTTATGATCTGTAGTTCCTATCCCTCAGTGTTCACTGAAATGTGGCCTAGTCAAATTATTAGGATATAATATTCCAGGGCTATACATAGGCAATAATAATTGTAGCACTCTACAAGGTTAAGATTCAATTAGTAGCTGTTAATTCTGTCCTTTCATGCTAGGCTTTTTCAAATACATTATTTCACATTCTGGTAAATTATCTAGTGAAGTATTTTATAAACAAAGTAGAGGAAATTGAGCCCCCTGGATATTAAGTGACTTGTTCTTTGAGTTTACATAGCTAGTTCATGGTAGAATTGGAATTTGGATAAGGTTTCCTATTCCATAGCCTTATCTCTTATATGTCTACCACTGCTGAATTACAGGTATTTACTGAGCTTTTACTACAGGCTGTGCACTAACCTACGTGCTGGAGGTAATGCAATGAATAGACACAGACTCTTCCTGAGACTTCTCTAAGGAAAGAAGACAAACAATGAGCAACTCAAATGCACATAACTAGCTGCCTACATGCAAGACCAAAAAACATGAGAATGGTCCTTCAATTCCAGGGAATGATATAGTCCTATTATCACATAAAACTAAGATTATTAGCCTTAAAAATTAGTAAGGGTCTTAATTATATCTAGCAGATGATGTGAGAATTGTTCATAAACATTAATGAAGGTTGTAACCAAGGAACTATATAATCTAGAAATTCACCTATATTTCATAAATAATTTTAGCTCTAATAAACTGGTCAATTTAGGTTAGGGCTAATCTGTTCCTCTTTCCTGGATAGGAAAGAATTTTCAAGTGGTTTAAAAGCTTTAACCATGTGACATGTTAGGCAAACATTCTGCATCTTGGCCTCCAGATAAATGGAAATATTTTCTAAAAAGAACAAGAATACGTATCTCTGCTCTTGGCTAAGATCATGAGCCCCATGAGCCCAATGCATGTTCTATTTTGAAATGAGTTTGAACACGTGCCTTTCTGGCACTCACTAGTTTATTCTTTAATTTGATTGTGGTCCTGCTCCTCCTAAAAGCAAAATTAAGATGACAGACTCACGCGGGAGAGCCGAAGGCTTCTTCTAGATTCCTCACATCTTTCCTTGGACTCAGTGAGGTTTCCTGAAAACAAAATGCTACAGTTTCCTCCACATAGTGGGGAGGAAACTCCCCACTAAAACATCTTCTTTGAATATTACTTCCCCAGCCAGGGATTTGATGAAAGACATAATCACATGAAGACTATTCTATACCCTCTCCAATAGCCTTTGGGACCTCTGCACACACCCCACCACAGCTGTACTGAGGATCCACCTTAACAAGTGTTCAAATTTCCCCTCCTGACCCCCTGCACCTGGAAGGTCTTCCTCTCTGTGAAGGCTTGGCGACCTCTGTTCGTTTCATTTGGATGTTGCCACCCTGAGAAAGTACCCTCCAAGCGCGGTCTCCCTCCTGAGGAGCGAATCATTCTGCTTCCCTTATGGAGCTGTGCGTCTGGGACACAGCTGCTGCGGAAGTGTCTGCCACTTCTGGCATTCGCTCCTCAGGGTCACCTTGACTTATCACACAGCTGATAGGACTTCGTTACCTCTAAACCTTCAGAGAACACCACATGTGAAGATTTTTTTCATTTCACCCAAAACTATGTGAGTTTAAGATTAAAAGCATAAGGTGAAGGAGGTCAAGTCTTAAATATTAAAAATAAACTCTAATAATGAAGAGTGGCTGAGGCAGTACACCATCTGCCCGGAGGACGACGACATGGGATTGAGGGACTCCACACAACCAGGCATGTTTCAGTGACTCAAATGAGCGAATCTTGCTCATCCTGGTAGGGGAGCCAATCTCTTAGAAAAAGCCAGCTGCAACTCGGTGCATGCACTCGGCTTCATCCCCTTCCTTCTGGTAGCAGGTCCTCCTCGTGGAATTCGCACTCTCGCTCACCCAGAGGCAGCCGCTCTCCGAGAGCTCCAGCGGGGACAGTGAGGCACGGAGGGTCAACCTGTTGCTCCCTCACGGGAACTGCAGTGGCTGGAGCACGTTTACGCAAGGTTCCCACCCTGAGCAGACTCTCTTAGTTCCTTCCTCTCCAGGTCCCCAGTGACCTTTATTCCCGATGCCATGAAGTCTGGTTCATTAATTCATTTATTCAATAAGTACTGGGGCTGGGGGTGTAACTCAGGGATAGAGTGCTCATCTAACATGTGTGAGATGCTGGATTTGACCGCAGCACCACACACACTAAAAAAAATTATTTGTTGTGTATGTGGCAGAAGAAATACATTTCACTTTTATTCCAGTGCCTGGCACAGAGCTCCCCAAACCCTGGGATTTCTTGATTGATAGG